TCTGCACAAGATTTCATTTGAGGCACTAAGGCCAGGGCATCAGTTTGAAAAGAATCCTTAACAGAGCAACATGAACAAGAACAAACGTCAAATTGATTGTGAGTCTTGGGTGAAAAAACAGTGAAATCATTGGTGCTTTGCAAACAGCTTATGGGGACAATACTTGAGAGAAATGAGCAGTTTTCACGGAGATAACCTGCTGTCAGAAAGGGCAATATGATACTACAGACGAAGCCTGAAGAAGCAGACCGTCTACATCATTTTGCAAGGAGATTAATTAACTTGGTTGAGGTCCTAATTGAAGCAAACCAATGAAGATCAACAGCGAGAACTTCAGACAACACTATGGTCATCTCATGGTACTGTGACATATGAAGGGGCTTCAACAAGTTCATGGACAATGTGTGCTGCAGAAACACTATGCATGGATTTCAAAATTATTTTCCACCCAATGAAAACCCATACTATTGTTATGACATGCTTGAATAGGATCTAGTTTGAGGCAGGGGGCCGGGGCAGGATATCACTTTGATCTAGAAATAAGAGCCATGAGTGGAATGTGTCCTTTGGACCACTCATGTTCTTGTGCGTTGAACCTCTCTGATCCACAGACAAAAGCTGAGATAGCAGAGAGGTGACAAGGATGTGACCGCTGCAAAACCAACCAAGAGCCAAAGCACAAGACAGAGTGGTAGGTTTCCCGGACCACTGAGCCAATAAAGTTGAGAGCCATCCTTTGCAGAGTGGGGTGCCTCCAGGCACTTAATTACAGACCGATGTTTGCTGACCCATGGAGACACAGCTCATTACCTTCTAACTGAGGCATATGGTGGAGTGGAGTGCCCTTTGGGAATTTATCAGCAGTGCTAAAGAGCTCTGTAAAACATTACTTGAGCAGAGCAGAGGCCAGATTCGGGTGGGGAAAGTGAGGCACCTGAGGTCCAGCATTTAGGAAGCATGTTAACCTCTGTGTTTGTGCAAGTGCTGGTGGACACCTGCAAACAGGTGAGTGCTCCATTAACTTCTCGCTCTATGCATCTTATTTTTCTCGCCCTTCTCATTTATAACTAAAGATGATTCTTTACCTTCCCTATAGTTGTTGTAAGGATTAAATAAATTAATAGGAACAAAGAACTTAACAAATGGCAAGCACGGGGTGTATTTTATACAAGTGCTTGCTTTAAAAAAAGAAAGAAAGTAAAAGAAAGTTTACTAGCTCTACGAGTTCTGGCAAATGATGTGTCCCCAGTTGTCTTCTGTAGAAAATGAGAGTAAGACCACTTCACACCCATGAGAGGGCTACCCTAACAGGTGGGTAATAGCCAGTGTTGGTGAGGATGTGGAGAAACTATAAACTTCCTGCACTGCGAGGGAGACTAGACTGGTGGCACTCACTGGGAAGGAGGGTGGCCATCCCTCAAAAGTTGTTACAAAACCCAGCAATCTGCTCCCAGGGACACACGTGCCCAAGATAACTGAGAACACACACACAGAAAGCTGTACAGGGGATTTTAGCCGCCTTCTTCAGCATAGCCAAAAAAGTGGAAAGAGTTCAAATGCCTCTCAGTGATTACATAAATAAAATACGGTATATAAATATATGTGTGTGCATACAGATAGATGATGCCCATACATAGGAGTGAAGTATTGCTAGCTACCACAGCATGGTTGAACCTTCAGAACATTATGCTAAATTAAGGAAGCCACACAAAAGTCCACATAGTTTATGATCTCATCTCTGTTGTCAAATTGAGTAGGGAATTCTGAAATTGAGTAGGGAAATCTATGAGATGAAATTGAGTGGGGAATCTATGGAGATGGAGAGCAGCCGGGTGGTTGACGAAGGAGGCGATGGGGAGTGATTACGAATAGGTATGTGCTCTTGTTTAGACATGGTGAGAATATTCTGGAATTAGAGGGTGGTGATGGCTGCACACCCAGGCAAACGGATTACAAATCACTCAGCTGTGTGCTCTAAAGTGATCAGTTTCACGGTATGTGAATTAGATAGTCTTAAAGCTGCTGTGTGCATGTTTCCATGAAAGCATGACGTTTTTTTAATGAGTGCCTGCATAATTACCATCCTACTTACTTAGAAAGATGTTGTGAAAATCAGTTGAGCTTACCCAAGGGGGAAACTTATTTCAAGACCTAAAAACAGTATTTCATCACGTTTCAACAATGACTAAATCTCTGTTGAGTTCTTTTGATGAGTCGGATGCGTGAAATTCTTCTAGTTGATCACGATTCCAGTCCTGACAACCTAAGTAACGGCACAGCCTCCCTCCTTACTGAGGGAGAGTCAACGCCGGGAATAGGGCAGCAAGTGCTCTGGCACGGTTCTAGTCCCACTGCTTGCATGGGCTTATTTTAAGCGGCTGAGAAAACTTTTCTCTTCAGATAATGACTGAAAATAGCATTCGTGGAAAGGGCAATAAGCACATTTTTAAAAATGGAAACATACTGGCTACAATCCAGAAGCTCATTACGTGTGACACTGTCCACCTTTCTGATGTGAATCCTGACTAATCAGTGTGCTGTCCACCGTGCTCTTCCCTCTTCTGCACACCACCACTACTAACATCACCCCTCACCTGTCGGTGAGAGCACTCATAGTTCTATTTCCTGCCCAGAGCTCCTCCCCTAACCACCAAACCTACATGCCAGACCTAAGAATTTAAATGCCAATAATCTAGGCATTTTACGCAAATGTAGTTTCTGATTGAATTAAATCAGGATGGGGCTTCTGATCCTGCATTTAAACAAGCTCTCAGGTGGTACTGTGTTAAGGGTCCTGGGACCACTACCAGAGTGGTCAAGGGATAGACAGATCCAACCAGTACTGCTCTGCGAGGTCGATCCAGACTCATGATGACCCCACGTGTCAGAGTTGACTTGGGCTCCACAGGAATTCCAATAGCTATTCCCCACCCCCACCCCCAGTGCATTTATTTATGCTGTAATCTGTATGCTGTAATCTTTATTATTTCTTTTCTTCCATTGTGTGAGGGTTTTTTAACTGGTCTTGTTCTAATTGTTGCAGTTAATATGG